CACGGGAAACTACCGATCAGAGCAGCCGGCCGCTAGACTTTTTCTCCAAACAGCAAATGGATTTGCCCTAGCTGACAAGCGCTCCTGCCACTGTCAAAACTCGAACCTCGGACCTCCCGGTCAGAAGCACTGCTATGACCTTAGTAGATGCCCTGAGCCACCTCCCCCGGTTCCGAGAGGACGGCTGGGCCGGCGGAGACGATGAAGGCGGCGGAGAAAAGGCGGTAGGGACGGCGTGGCCAAACCGGCGCGGGGGATGGCGACTGCGGCGGCGGAGGCGTTTCGCGAGGAAACGGCCTCTCATTTGAGCGCGCGGGGCGGGGGCGGAGCAGCGGGCGACCGCTTTCGCCGCATTACGAATGACGCGAACGAACGCTAAACGCCACGCGCCGCCGCCGCCCCGCCGCCGCCGCCGTCTGCTCGCGCGCCTTCGCGAGCGGCAAATGAACCGCGCCCGCCGCGCCGGGGCGCCGTCGGGGCCAAAGGACGAAGGGCGGAGGGGCGGCGGTGAAGGGCGCCCGACCGCCCACTCGTTGCGCTTGGCCTCCTCGTCGCCCTTCGCCCGAAACGCGCCCTTCCGCAATGGAACGCCGCCGCTGCCGTATTTGCAACGCTCCGTGGCCCTCTCGGCCCTCGCCGCCTATTCCGCTTCTCCTGACTTTTGCTTCAACCCCTGACACGACGGCTCGCATCTTTTCGCTGCCGAGTTTCACTTCTCTAGACTGCTACTTTGTCTCTCTTCGCTAAGGTTTTTATCTCGTTTGTCTAGGTTTTCCCTGCCGAACTATGCTGTTCATTGCACGTCAATTGTCCCTTACTCAGCAATTCGTAATTCCTGTTTTCTCATTCTGTCACTCTTCTTTTGTTTACTCATAATCTCTTCTTGCTTCTACTTCCTGTGTATTCGTATTCTCTAGAACGTTTGCTTTATAATTGTCGGCGCCTTTGAATCTCCTCGGGATTGACACCGTAAATATCATTCGGCTACTAATTTTCACTCATGTCACACTTCCAATTTGCTGTTTAATTTTCGAGTCCATAGCCACCTCTTATCCAATCGACACCACCATCTAACAATGGTGCTTTCATTAAGCACTCTGGATTTGCCTTCGACCTCCAGTTCCCCAGAGTCCCTTCCATTTCGCCTTTCCCATCGCCAGAGTGAGGCGGTTCCAGCATACTCCATATCTCCCACACCACCTTGTCCGCCTCCATCTTCGGCCTTTCCCACCAATATTGCCGCCGCCTCCACCACCAGCCAACCCTTTGCGGCAAATGCTGCACCACCTCACTCTTCTTCCCCTCCTGCACCTCCGGCCCTTCCAGCCAATTGCACCACCGCCTCCAAAACCTTTCGGGCATCTCCTGCTCCATCTCCTCCTCCAGCTCTTCGCTACGCCCAGTCTCTCGGTCGGTCGGTCGGACAGTCGAGCGGGCATATTTGCTTTCCGAGATGAAACCGGAAAGTGTTCGCCATTTGTTTTCCGACTTAAAACGGAGGCGGGCGGCGGCGGTGGCGGCAGCGGCGGTCGGCAAATAATATCCACTGCCGCCCGCACCGGCTGGTCCCGCAGCGTGCGTGCGGGCGGGCGGGCGTGCGTGTGTGCCGTGGGTACACAGACGTGTCACGGGCCGCCAATATGCGTATTATCACACACACAGACGCGGCCGCGGGCGGTGCAGGCTCAAAAGCGCATTCGCGGGGTGTGTGGGTGTGTGTGGAAGTGGCTGATAGAGGTGGAGAGGGGGGAGTCAATGTTATGCTACATCTTGCGCAGCTGATCCACCCGAGCGATCGTGTTTACTACGTCCAGAATGCCCCGACACCACGCTGTCTCGCGTTGAGGTTTGACACGACGTAGAATAGGTTCCATCTGATAGTTGTAACACAACATTGCTCAAACGCTTATTCTTTTTGGTCAAAATGTTCTAGTGTAGTCTATTTTCTACTTCTTTACAAAAAGTAGAATTTCCGCAAATTCTTCGAAATTGCGAGAACACATTCTGCGAACATACATAATATTATTTTATTTTCAAACAGAAATAAATTAATAGTTGTTTTCAATGGCATATTTTTCGCAATAATATTGAAGTCCTGTATTAATTTAATTACTTTCGTAAGATGAGCTATCGGAGTAATTTTCTGTAGACATCTTTATTCTTGAAAACGTTATTGCGATATTTCACTCGAGGGTCGGGGATATTAGTCATGGCAACTATATTTTTGTGAGAACACGAGCGCGGGTGGCAAATGTGAAGTTGACACTTGAAATTACTAGGTAAATAATTCCAAAAGCCGAGATCGTTAAGGCAGTAGGGCAGGGTTGTATTGTGTTCGTCCTTTCACCCCCTATCATCATCATCATCATATCGTGTTATCCTCATAGTTGTCATACCGTTACTCGCAATAGTGATCGCTAATGACCTAGAAGTTGATGCGATTTTAAATTTTAAAAAATGATTCCAAAAGCATTACATACCCGTTTTAAAGGTCCGATACGGCAAATTGGGTGAATAACACATGTTAAACACCGGTCCAATACTCACAGTTTGTCACGTGCGTTGCTACGCGTCCTTTGATAAACTCTCCTGAACTTCTGCACATCGCTCGACTGTTCGGCATGGAAGGGCATTGTTTCGAGGAGCTTCCTTCAACTCCCTGACATTCTTGGGCGTTCCTACCATGGAGAATGACTGTCTTGGAGTATGAGCGCTGCTTGAAACATGTTACATACATCTCGCAAGGTGGTAGTCGGACAACTGATTTCACGTAGCTCTCTGTGCTAGAGAACCATCTCTTGAAGCTAACACGCCTTACTGCAGCATTTATTTCACACTACAAATGAAATTGTATTTTTGATAACAATTATAAAAAAATAATTGCCATGACTTCTGCCACAAACCTGCGATAGGAATTTTTTCTGTTTTTTCCGTACATTCCAAGTATTGTTAACATTCTAGTATCAGAGATATCTATTATTTCATGCTAGTCTATTACAAAATGAAAATGAGGCCAATGGTATTCTGCAATACGTATTAGAAGTTATAAATGGTGGAAATCACTAATAATCTTAATTTTTTCATCCTTTTTTTCTTGACAACATTATTAGCATTCTTTTTTTTAAATTTGGACAGAAGTTTTGCCACTTTGCAGCAGGAAGTTAAAAAAAGAAGTATTTTGAAACGAACTGATGTTAATTAACGAGGAGGAATAAAGCTTCGTCAACATCAAAGCTATGAAAACACAACAAGCACAAATAGAATGCTTCCCAACGCTTCTCTTCTCTCCGCAAACTTCGAACGGTATGCTAAACACGATTTAGTAAAGAACGCTGAGACTGACACACGGAAGTGAACACGCACAGAAATCGGTTTTCGAACGGAAGGGAAAATTACAAAAAGCAGATGTTTTCTTACAGCATTATTGCAAATTTACATGAACAAACACTGGGGTTGTTTTAACGGAAACAAGTCGTGACGTGAGGTTCCGATTTGTATCTGTCTTTGAAGAGCCAATAATCCCCACGTCCATTATGTCAGACCAGTTTTTGAAAACGAAACTCTTCTCATTTGCAGTGCCAGAAATATGTTTCGGTTATGTACAGCGGCCTTCAAATATATCCAAATGAATAATGGAAGAAAATAAACAGTTCTTAGTTTCGGGCCAAACGTCAGAATGCAATGGAGACTTGTTTCACGACTAATATGCAAAGATAAATGTGGTTGTTCTGTTACTATAAGAAGTTTTGATATTTCTTTATTATATTCGCCTCCGAATAGTTAGAAACGCATAATCTGAAAACAAATATAATTCGTCTGTAAGAAAAATACGTAATCGAGAATACTATTTTCATATATATACCAATATCCAATTACGGCAATGCTGACTGATTAATAATAGTTTGCGATGTGGCATGTCTAACATTGTGTGTATATGAAAGAGAGAGTAGGTGTCTGAGTATTTACATTAATATACTTCAATGTATATGTGTCAATAGGTGAACTAACTTGTACTAAATTGTTAGTTGTACGAAACATAATATCGAATATCGTATTTACGAAAACACAATCAAAAAGAAATTTACTTTAATCTCACGAAACAAACCCAATCAACGTGGTGCATTCGGAATTTTGCATATCTACAGCGATGTTTCTCAATAAAACTCAATATTTCAGGAAGAATGCACAAACCGAGAAACTACAGTTCAAGGAATTAAAATGTTTTGGGATACTGCTTAACTCAGCAATCATTCCTAGCAATTTTTGAACTCATTATTTGGCAACACGAAGGAGGAACGTCTTAAGAATATTTCGACACGTAAAACTAGAGAACAAACGCGTTACTTATGGAAATAAGTTCTTCAATAAATGAGCAATTCCCACTCACGTCGTAGTTCAATAGAAACTGTTTCGTTCGCGACCAACGTCAGCTCTTTCCAACGTTAAAGGCCCCTTCACAATGCAAACGCAATCATAAGCCTTGCGCATAGACATACACGTAAGTGATACACTGAACAATTCACAATGTCGAACATAAACGTCAGCAAAATACGTTCTTATTGGCTGTGAGTCATTCTGGTTTACTATTGGTTGGATGAGAGATTCGATTTCAAGGTATCGACTGTGTCCATGGCCCATACAGAGTTAGTTCTTCTATCGACTTCACACCGATTTCGATTCTCGATTTTGAGTTACCGTTCAGTGATTGGTTTATTTCTTATGACGGACTTAAGCATAAGCAGCACAGAAGCTTGAAGATTCCAAGCTTTTAAGTTGACGTCTTACATGTTATGCTTATGCGAACACGTTGTGAATGAGTCCGATTATGGACGTAGTCCTAACTTTTATGTTAACGCCATGCTTATGTTTGTCTATATTGTGAATGGGCGTTAACAGTGGGTGCCTTTTTCTCTGTGCGCAGGGTAACCGCCCGCCGAGCGCGGTTGCAACGTAAGGACCACCGGGAAGAAGAGAAGGAGGCAGCGGAGGAGGAGGAGGTGGTGAGCGGCGCCGCCGGTGCAGCACCATGGTGGCCGTCACCGCGCCCGGCGACCCGGACCCCAAGGAAACGCCCCCGCGCTGGCCGCAGTTCCTGGCCGCCGCGCTCGGTGAGTCCCCACCCCCTCGCCCTACACCCACAGGCCGGCCAACTGTTACCTGGCGTGCAATTTGATACACGTAAAAATGCATGGGGACGTTTGAATTACTCTTGATTCATAGTGAGTAATAGAAAGCAGTGCAGAGTTAATATTTTTTTCTTCATTTTATATTACGTTCATTTTCATCATTCAGCTATTACGTTAATTTTACGAAGTACTTTTCAGAAAATTTAACACATTAACAGTTTTCAAAACATTCTGCTTCTGGACAATGTGAAATCAATGTGATCACTAGCAACATTCTTCAATTGGCAATATTACACATTTTGTAAAGTTAATTGCATGGTTCAAAAGAGATTTGAGACAAAAAGCTACAATTTCTTTCAAATGTTTCTTCATTTACAAATACTTCTCATTTCGCTCTTATTCTCCTTCTTCAAAATAACGCATTTCCATTAACTTCTAATTTAACTTTTCTTATTTTTCTTATTTTTCTTTTCTTATTATTTTTAAAGATTTTTCTTTGTAGTCTTATTAACATTAAACTGAGGAAAGTTTCCGGGTTGGTAGGCCGTGGTTTGGCCGCCAGTTGCCAGCCAGCCGCCACAGCCACCCTAGATACTGTATCCGTACTGCCCCCACTGAGCATGTCCACCGTAGTCGTGCGCGAAACCTTTGGCCCCTCAGCGTCAACTGCACCTCAGCCTACTAGCCCGGAAACATTATTTTATATTGACTCCGGCCGTGAAAGTCTATTGTGCTATATTCTAAACTGGAATTACCTCAATTCGTAAATTTACCAAATATTAAAATCACTTCATTTATAAATATTAGGTTATGTTATTTTCAATACTAAATTTCATTCAAGCAATCACCAATACTTTCCGCACACTTTACAATCTGCATTGTTCATATGTGTTATTAATGTTATTCATTGATGAAATTGAAGTCAAGAAAAGTGAAGAAATCCTAAGAAACTTCTAGACCTTCTTTGAGCGCTAAAATTTTCATCGTAGAAAAACATTTCAATCACGGTGAAAAGACCACGTGTCACAGGAATTATTGTACACTGTTTAAAAATCCGAAATCTGATCCAAATAGAGCTCCATAGCCCAATTCTATCCTCCTTTCGGATCATTTATATATTTCTGGCCAATATTCTTGCTCTCCCCGCCGTTTCTTGCTTCGGTTGGCGCCCCGCCCCGATGCCTGCAAAGAATATCCGCCCCCGCGGCGGCAGCCTTGCGTCCACGCCGCCCCCGCAGAGAGAGATTGCCGGTTTTTAGCCGCAGATTCGTGGGCCAGAGCGAGGAACGGGCGCCTCGCTGTTCTAATTGGATTCGGAACCCACGCGCGCCGCCCCTCACGAAGGCAACTCGACTCCCCTAACGAGCCACGCGCCGCCCCTTCCCAGCCTCACCAACCAACCATACCCACCACCCATGCAATCCTCTTGCCCGTGAACCCTACATCCTTGTTACCCATGTAATCCTTGCCTTCCCTGCCATCCGTTCAACCTTAATCTCCCCACTACCCACGCAAATCTCTACAACCCTCGTCTCCTGGCTACCCACGAAATACTGCCTTCCTGCCATTCGTACAACATTCTTCACGCCGCAACCCATGCAATCCTCACCTTCCTAACCACCGCAGCAACTTTCACCGTCCCCGCCATCATGTCAGTCATCACCTTCACCGCCAGTGCTGCAACCCTCGCCGTGCCTGGTATCCGTGCAACCCTCGTCTCTCTGCCACATCGTCTTGTCTCCCACGCCATCAAATCCAACCCTTGTCCTCTTCGTCTTCTGCCAAGCCTCGGCTTCTCCAGTCGGACTTGGCAACGACTACCCCGCCACTCCTGCAACCCTCCCCTCCCCACTCTCCTACAATCTCCTCACTCTTCGCAACAATCCACGTTCCCACCACCACCACGTCGCTTGCTTCGCACATTTTGCCGGCTCACCCATCCGCCTAACGCCATCCAAGTCCCCTCAACACCCTCTGCCACCCCATCTTACCCGAAACCCCTGCCACAGGAACGTCTCCGTAACCGCTCACTCTCCCCGCCCCGTTCCTACACGCTCCGGCTCTGCCAATCAGTCTACCGCCCTGGCCCACACGGTCCATCCAGCACCCCCGCCACCCCACCCGCAACCCCTGCCGCAAACGTCTTGTAACCGCTCACTCCCACAACACCCACGCACCTACCGCCTCGCCGACCACCCGCTCCCCCCCCGCACCCAACGCCTCCCACCCTCCCTCACCCACCACCACGCCTCCCACCCACGCTCCCCGCACCACCCGCACCACCCCAGCAACCACGCACCCACGCCACCCCCACCGCCCCACGCCACCCCACGCCATTCCCCACCAAACCCGCTTCCGCCCTGCGCCGGGGCCGCCCCCTCGCCATCGGCGAAGATTGGTTTGAAAGACGCTTATTTACAGACTTGAAACCAGTTTGAAAACAACCCCAATTTTCCGCAGACCTTTGATGTCCCCATACCGCCGACGCCGCGGGCCGCCCGAGCGTGGTTCGTTGTGCTCGCTTTCGAGCAGACGTGCGCCGCGTACTCACCCCTGCTCGTCGTGAGGGTGCGCGTGGGGGTGCAGTGGTGAGGGGAGGAGAGGGGAAACTGCAAATGACCACGCGCGAGCCAGCTAACAATCGTGGCGTCGTGTGGTGGCTGGAGGTGGTTAGTGTGGAAGGGGGAGCGAGGAGAGAAGCTGCAAAAGACCACCGGTGAGCAAGCTGGAGTCGTGGGTGCTGGGTGGGGTGGAGTGGGAAGTGGTGGGGAGAAGAGGGAAAGCTGCAAATGACCACGGTGAGACAGCTGCAATCATGGGTGGGTGAGGGTAGAGTTGGGAGGAAAGTAGAAGCTCTAATTGGCCACGGTGAGCCAACTGGAGTCGTGGGTGGGTGAGGATAGAGTGGGAAGAGGAGGGGAAGATGCAAATGACCACGGTGAGCCAGCTGCAATAGTGGGTGTGTGGGGGTGGAGTGGGAAGGGGAGTGGAAGCTGGAAATGACCACGGTGAGCCAGCTGGAGTCATGGGTGGGAGAGGCGCATGTGGGTCTTCGGCAATGTTCTCTTATGTGTATTTGTTGATGTTCATGTGGATGCCCGAATGTTTTGATTTAATTTTGTTTGTGTATATTGCAAGGTAGGCAGACAAAAAACGAGTAAATTTTAGAGGAAGAGCAACAGTGGAGATGCCTTTTGAGCATGTTGAAGAGAAAAGATTTATGATGCGGTGCGAGTTTACCCCAAATGTAATGTGAGGAAAGACCAAGCAAGACGGGCGAGGGGACGATCAGGCCGTCTTATCTTATAACCTTAATACATTAATCGGATTATGCATTATAAGCAAGTGACTAGATACACTGAGATGTAATGATAAGTAGTATTTAGGTAATGATTTATACATTGAATTATACCTATTTATTGTCTGCTAAAGAAATAAATGGCGAAATAAAAATAGAGAAAGGAAAATTATGTACATTCCAAGGTTAGTAGCGCTATTTCCGCTATTTTTATGTCAATATATCATGATGCAATTTCTTTCTGTGTGCGTTGAGACTCAAGTAAGGATGATTTATACGTTCGGTGCATCTCGTAGGATATTTAAACACCCCAGAACTAAAACATTTACACTAACTCATACACAAGTGCTTAATTTGCTTTTACATGCACATTTATATGAAAAATGTCATGGTCACGTATACAGGAAGATACTCGTGTCCTACTCCAATGCTAGAAACTTTAACTGCGTTTTAAACTACCTCTCGTATCACGCATCTTATTTCTTAGAAATTTTAATTTGACGCTCTTCGTGAATTTGTAAACTGGTTTCTAATATCGTTTATAATTTGGATTCAGAAGTAATCGTATTTACTTAAAATGATTGCCTCAGATAAAGATTAAGAAAATATTTTTTTAGAGCATCAGCATATTTTAATTTTTTAGTGTGACTAATTTAAGTCGAGAGAAGTTCAATCTTTGTTCATACGTCTTTTTAAAACAAACTGAAAGGCAAGATGACACGGTCTGAGATGTTTTGAACATAACGTCGAATAAACGAGTTACATGGAAGTAGTGAGTATTAAGTAATCCAGCACCCCAATCAATAAATTATTATTACAAACGTACCACTATGAAGGAATCACATGTGAAATTGGACTGTCGTGAGATATGTTGCAGAAAATTTCATCATAATGTATACCATTTACAATGATTATAAAGTAAATATTCTAGAATTCAGGAATGCCGAAATGGCACTGCAGGACAGATGAATGAGCAAACTGAGTGCGCAAAGAAGGGCGCGAAAGATAGACAAATAGTCAGGCACAAAGTCAGACTGACAGTCAGATGGATAAATAGATACAAAATTGATAGATACATAGATAAATAAAAAAACTTTATTCTACAAATGGGTTGAGGTTACCCGGTGGGAAAAAACAGACCCTGCAACTATATATAATTAGAAAACAAAATTAAAACACAACATAAATTGTCCTCAGTCACCTACCTAACACATGGAGATCGCATTTACACACGTACACAAATGCAAGAGCATACATAATCCAAGACAGGTACCCTTGCGTACATCTCGTCCTATTGATGAGCTTTCAGTACGCTAAACTGTCGCAACAGCTGTGCCGTGAGACCGCGCTTTACTCCAGCCCGCACGACCAGCGCCGACAGTAGCGAAGACCAGGCGCTTACAAGGCGCTGATCGCGCAGTCTTTCGCTAGGCGGACCGCGATCGGAAAAGGCCTGACGATTAGGGTGGACCCGCGACTGCCCAAAGCGGAAGGTCGAAAGCGAAAGCGTTCGGCGCTCGAGAGCGATTGGAGAGCGCGAGCGGATGACAGGGCGCCGAGTAGAGCGGAGTAGAGCGGAACGAGTGAGCGAACGGTCCGCTCGGGCGGGCGAGCTGCGCCGAAAGGTCTCGCCTCGGGGAATTTTTCTCCTGGGCTGCGTCGTCGCCGTCGACTTGGGCGCGCGCGCGCTTTGATTCGGCTGTGCAGGGCGCAAGCCTCGCAAAACGCGCGCCACGGGCGGGTGCAAAAGGGGCCAAAGAGAGAGAGAGAGAAAGAAAGAAAGAAAGAAAGAAAGAGAAAGAGAGAGAGAGAGAGAGAGACCGAGCTGCGAGCAGCTTCTAATTAGAAGAAACGGTTCGATCAGAGGGGGAGGGGGGGCCGGGAGAAGTGCGAGCAAGCGGACTTCAGCCTAGGCGTCTTGGACGGCTACCTAGAGGCCCAACTTGAGAGGGGACCCCCAGATGATAGCAATAAAATGCAATAGAGACCCAGTAAATGTTTTAATATTATTACTTTATAATTATAGAAATAAATTTTTTAACTGTTTGACTAGCTATACAGATTCGTAAACATATTAATTTATTTTAGATTTGAACGTATTTGGATTACTGAAAAAATTGTTGCAAATAATCAGAAAATAGAAAACAATTATCACATAGCAATAAATATTTCAAAAATATTTCATATTACTATGTAAAATACAAATATTTTTACTTCGTTGTTCCTCAATTACTAGAAGGAGGAGCTTCAATTTGTTTATCACATAGGGGTGCTGTTTCTTGAAGTTCAGCCATGGGTGTAAAGGAGGGGTTGCTGGATGGAGCTACGGTCAGTCGGTGATGGCAGCGCCCCTGCCGCCTCAGCCAAAGAGCACCCCATGGCGCCATGGGGCGAGTTCCATGATGCGAAGTTAGAGGGAGTTGCAGTCTCATATTCCATGGCTAAATTTCATTCCTTTCATAAACAGGAAAGAGAACTGAAATCATAGGTCATGAAAATAGTGGTTGTTGATGAATAATCCTATGACGATTAGGTGGATACTTAAAACAATGAGGGACAGTCTGCCAATGTCGTTACTAAAATACGTTTGTACTTTAATCACCCTTCTTATAGAGTCGGAATGAGTTTCCCTTAGGAGACAGAAATTGTGGGAGTCATTTTTCTTCGCACGTTGGCATGGCCGTTCGGCTACGCAGGCTGTACCCGATCACAAATAAACTAATAACCGCATTGACAGGCAACATTTAGATTCTTTCTCTTTTAGGGCCGTTTGAATGTAATGACATAAAAATCATGTGGATGAATATATATTTATATATTTAAATAATATATATATATATATACAAATATAACTATTTATAACGCTTTTACTTGGCGATATATATATATATCGCTTTTACTTGGAATGGATGTCGGTGTGGCGTGTGTGGGTATATATATATATATACTATAGATATATATATATATATATATATATATACTATTATATATATATATATTGCGAGTTTGACTGAAAAATTAAAATATTCTTTTTATTGTAGTAACTCCGCCTATTCTCATAACGAGTACAGACTGAATCCTCATATACAAATGCGTTCACACCATATATATTATATATATATATATATATATAGTTATATATATATATATATAAATATAAAGTGACCGTGAAACCTTTGTGTAAACTAAACAAACATTTATTCCAACTTTTAAAGAGAAAGGTTCAATTTCAAAAATTTTGCATCAACCTTCACGCAAATTTTCGCACTCAGCTTAGCAGTCGGCAACAGCACTTAAAGGATACCAGAAATGGAGAGTGCGGCTCGTTACCGTTAATTTAATTCTGATGACTCCAGCCACTCAATGACGACCTACTTCACTTTCCCAAATATCAATTCAGTGCTCTCTTTCATGAACTGAAATATTCCCCGTAATCTCTGGCGCCGAGAGAGAATGTCCCCCAATTAGCAAACGTAATCGTTCCAGGCATCCACTAGCGTTCGCTTCACGCTCACCCAGCGAGTTAAATTTTGTTAAAATGCTAGTATAATAGGATCTGAACCTGCGCACTGGCTGCAAAGCAGCCGCTTATCGCGCTTATAGTAAGGCCTAAGGCCCCTCTGTACAACGCATTTGCGCAAATTGCGTTGCCATGGGCGTTCGTCTGTTGCCTCGATACTATCAGCAGGATATGTGTTGAAATTACCTGCGTAATTATGAAATCCTGAAGTTTTTCAACTGACAGAGATAATTTTGCTTTGTCTCGCTTTTACTTGCAGAATGGATGACATGTTTGAATTGATTTTATATTACTACAGGCCACTATCAACTTAATTTTAATATTACTATTGACCACGTTAACAGGTGAAATCTACATTATACTAATTTCAAATTGTTTCAGAGATTGAAAGAAAACTATACACCTTCCGAGCACATAAGAGTTTTCTTTGGTTTCATTAGTTACACAAGAACTCAGGTAAAATACAAAATTATGAAACAATTTCGATTTTGATGAAAAGATGCAAATATTTGATTGTGTTACCCCGCGTATTCTCATACCACGCGCACCGACTGGATTCTCATATTCAAAGCGTCACACCTTAAGACACAGTAACTTCATGCAAACGGAAGGCTCCAAGAAAGAGGACGCCCGCCGTTAAATATTTGCTTTCACGTGGTGCATTGCGGTAGAGCACCGTTTTGATATGCTTGTTATGTAAAGACCTGTTGTAGCTACTGTCTACCTAACCGTAACAAACGTCACTTACCCTAAGACAGTTCGTACTGGCTAATGTCAAATTATGATTCGAATCTGTTTTCTTACTTCGGACGTCATCCATCCGTGTCTGTGAACTTTAATCGATTAACTCGGTAATTAGCCGGAATAATATTTTATTCGTAATGAATAGATGAATGTACTTACAGGTTCAAGCATCGTTTATTTAAGAGCTAGTGGTGCTACAACAGCACACAATTTCTCGCATTTATAACTTCAGGAATTTCAAAAAAATTAGGAGAGTTTAACGAAAATTAGCGCTGAATCATATTTTTAAGCGTTCTTTACTCTATCCGAGTACAAAATTTAATTCAACAATTTTGAGACATTTTTGAGAAAATTATGAAAATGTTAAAGGTTGTAGTAAATGTTAGGGCTTCATGTTAAGTACCCCGAGAAAAAAAAAGTTTCAAATTCGAAGGTTCTCAAGTTCGGCAAAATAAATCGGGTAATACAAATTTTTGAAAAAATCTAAACAATTTAATCACTAGCGTTCATACGCACGGACAGACACTTTTTTTGCCATCAACCAATCTTTCGGTGCGAAGGTCTCACTAAACATACTATACTCTGCTCGGTATTAGAAGAAGTAATTGATTACGTATCGGCCCAAGATTAATTCACTTTTTTGATAACAGGGTCCCAGAATACGAGTTTTTATGTCGACAACCTCCTCTTTTCGTCGCAGTACTACATAACTCTCCTTATACTTTGGAAGTACGAAATGCGAGAAAGTAAGAAGTTGGATCCGCGAGTGTGACGCGTGTTTTGGCTTGCTGTTGCAGCGACGCTCTGCGCTTCGAGCAGCGGGTCGGTGCTGGGCTGGTCGTCGCCGTCGCTGCCAGTCATGCAACGCCAGCAGCTGCAGCTGGTGCGAGACAACACCTCCGTCAACGTCACGCTGTGAGTACCTACACGGCTTCGCTCCTGGCCGCACCAAACTCAACTATGAAAGACTACAAATTCCTTACATTTTTCATGGTGAAAAATTTATAGTCCCAAACATGTGTGTAAAAAATTGTGTAATCGCGTGCTTTGTATTACATTGTGGCTTCGATGGTGTACATCGTCAGTGCAGTGAAAAAAAAGAACCGTTGAACTATACCAGATCTATGACACTGTAGCAAGGAAACTTGTTACAGTATCATGGATCTGGTGTACTCCAACGTCTTTTGTTTTTTTCGGTGTGTCAGTGTATCGGACTGTTACGTCCACGTTCACGGATTCTCCCTCTAAAAGATTTTTTTTTGGGAAAAATATTCCTTCTTATGATTTTTGGACGGAGGTTCTTGCTTCGTGTGAACTAATCTCAAACTCGATCTTAAATACGGCTCTGACCTACATTCAAAACACAACACACACACACAACACCACAGCACCACCACATATTTTATCATAATATATATATATATATATATATATATATATATATATAATGTTATATCACAAAGAGAAATCTCAAGATCTCTGATGCCAAAGAATTTGCGCTGTAGAACAATATATTTTATGGAACATCGCTGAATAAAAGTGAACAATACAAATCTGAACATATGAACAAATACACCAAGTAACACATTACAAGATAAAAACAAATTTGCAAAACGCACTAGTACAAGTTATATTTACCATGGTTTTGCTGCTAGCAATATCCATTTCGTCTCTAACAACTCTTTATGTATGTTCAGTTTTAATTATCAGAAGAATCTTCCCTGGAGTACGTGCGTTCTACACAGCGGTATTTCCTATTTTTCAATATTTACTATTGACATTGACACATCCTATCATTTATGAATTTAATTTTTTGTAATGCAAGTAAAACGGGAGCAGTGAGTTAGGTTCACTATGACTGAGAGTTCACTATATCCGAGTTCACTATAACCGGAGTTGACTGTACTTGAAACTTATTGTTACCAAGGGAGCCAGCTGGAGTCTCGTTCAAATCAAGAGAGCCGTGGACGAAAAAAGTTTGAAAACCTCTGATATATACCGTTACGTTCCCATAAAAACGCCCACTATCGTAATAATCGCTAGATAAAGAATTATTTCTGTAACAAATGTACCAATAAAATTCCTTCGAAAGGCAATACACTTTTTGTATGCATAATATTGATTCAGGCACTGTCACGGCCATACGTGATTTCCGAAATATGTCTCAGTTGCCGGATCAGTTATTTTCATGTGTCTGTACTCGGAGACTTCAGAACATCGTCGCGTAAAAATAGCCTCAGGAAATGAAGATCGCGGTGCGCGGACGTGGCATGCGTATCATGTCATATAAAATCCAAGTAATTTTCCTTACCACTCAACAACATGTGAATAATTGAGGTGTATATTTTCAGTACTTCAAGAAACAAACATATATAATTATTTCAATACAACGCGAGTTTGTCATTTGAAGACTCAACACAGGTAGACCGATAATCTGACCATCTTTACGAAACGGCAAGTCTCAAATCAATACGAAAACATTCTTCTTTCCTTCTAAACTGCCAGACTCCCAAAGTTTTGAATTAGTACATCTGCGAGACGGCGTACTCGGGGAAAGAATGTTCTTTCCGTAACTTAAAGGCAGTAAATTTAAATAAGGAGTCGCCGGGCCCCCGCGACGAAAAAAAAACAAAGAAAACGGAAGAAATGATTTGTGGGCCGCGAGAAACTTTACGTGACGTCTATGGGGCCCGCAAAAAGAAAGCCGGGACGGTCGCGGAGGCGGAAGTGATACGCGGGTGAAGGTCGGCGTTCGGCGCGCTCCCCGCCATAAATCTCGTTATACGGTGGCCCACACCCTGCGGCGAAGGGGGCGGAGCGGAAGGGGCGGCGCGGGACAGGCCGAGAGGTGGGCGGGGTCTCCCCGAGTTGGGGACGGGCGCGATAGCTCCGAGGCAGTACCGTTGGCTCCGGGGAGGTCTTAAGAGGGTTTAGAGGCCCGATTGTGACATTAGCTACTCAGCCGGGTTGAAATCAACCACTGACTGGACGTGAATTAGAGCGGTCGGCTGCTCTGATCGGTGCATTTTCCAACAAAACATCGTTGACCGCAGGTCTTTGAGGGTTTAGATAGTGACAACTGAGCGAGGCTAGAAGCTCAGCGAGGTTGGAATCAATCACTGACTGAACGTGAATTAGAGCGGTCGGCTTATCTGATCTGCTGCTCTGATCGGCAGATTTTCCATCAATACATCGTTGACTGGAGAGGTCCTAGAGTTCAGAGGCCCGATAGTGACATTAGCTACTCAACCGGATTGAAATCAACCACTGACTGGACGTGAATTAGAGCGGTCGGCTGCTCTGATCGGTAGATTTTCCGATAAGACATCGTTGACCGCAGGTCTTTGGGGGTTTAGAGGCCCGATAGTGATATTAGAAGCTCAGCCTGGTCGATACCAATCACTGACATGGAGCGACTTAGAGCGGTCAGCTGCTCTGATCGGTAGATTTTCCAACAAAACATCGTTGACTGGGGAGGTCCCAGGGTTTAGAGACTCGATAGTGGTATTACCTACTCAGCAGGGTTGAAATCAACCAATGGATGAGAATTCGAGCGGTCGGCTGCTGTGATCGGTAGTTTACCGTAGTCTCTCCTATCAACACCAGCCGAATGCCGTAGCAGTACCCAAACAAATGAGCCGTGGACCGCGGGCGATGCTCCCTTTCACTTTTTTGCACGATCATTTCCCTTTACACACACATATACAGAGTCTTACATGCTCCATACTAATACACATGCCGGAAGTTCCAGTCACGAGCGAAAGCGTTGCCATCCCAACGTGTACGTCGGCGTCGGATCGCTCGTTTCAGCGGGGGAATGCACACCGCCACACCCCAAATAGCAGGCTCTGCACTTGCAGGGCTAATTATCTCAATATTTGTCGCGTTCAGAAACTCTAAATATTCACCCCCAAATCTGGTGGGAGACTGCCTCGCTCTATCTATAACACGTTGGTGTGGTGGCGTTATGGCAGAGTTGCCGTGAATAGTCGAAGCTCCCAAATATGCAACGTTACAAGACAAATTCCGCGAACATAAAATGTTAGTGGTTTTTAATACCTCCGTTAAAATGATTTGAAAATCCTGATAAAAAATTCTTCAAACAAGGTACAAACTTGCCCGTCAACAAGAAATACTTCAGCTAACGTAACAGGAAAAATAATATTTTCCCATAGGTTGAATTTAATTCCTGTGAGTGCACATTAATTCTGATTATTTAACAATACAGTACAACGTAAAACATAAAATAGTGTCATATTTACATGTCTATAAATCTTATCACAATATAAAAAATAAATTATTAATAATCACAAATTTTATATATCATTTTGCTTCTTCCCTCTCAAACCCGATTATTTCAGTGAAGACCACCGTAATCTGGCTTCATTACAAAACAATATCGAGCAACCGCGTTGTATGCGGCTACGAGAATTCGCTATGTGAGCGAAGGAACATGAAATCGAGACTGAACGCGATGTGTATTTGAAGAATAAGGAAATGCACCCTTGCATCTCCTCACAACACATAAGGTGTATGAAGGGCCTACAATGCCGCTATCGTGACAGTGTGTCCCGAACTCAAAATAATTAACGACGTACGATCGTTATTTTAATGCTCCAATGACATGCGAATTCTACCCTATTTCTTCGCCTCTCATCCTCTCAAAAACAAAAAAATATCCTGGAAGCGAAAATGGAATACTAAAATTGAGCACTTAGATCTACCGTACAACGCCTTATTCTCGTAACTACGCTTCAACTCACCTACACTATTTCAGATTTGAGCATGAAAGAAAAAGCATCTCTTTCGTCCTCAACCAATTACAAACATGTTCCTCGTTCCGTGAAACGCCAAACACGTTCAAGGACTTTAGAAAGCAACATTCAGGTAAATTCATTGCACTGACAGCTTGTTTACAAAATCCTTCATTCGATTTTACTGCAACTTCACATCTTCGGGAAATCCAATCTTGTAATCAAAGTTATAAACTGCTAATGATAAAATTCATTACTACAGGAACTGAAAGTGAAACTGACGTGTCATTTACAGTCGGTAATATTCCTCACTTGAAAAAAATCACTGTACTTTGCAACGCAATAGCCTATCTCACTGTGCGTCAAACATTTTAACGCATCCGTTATATTATCATTACCATAATTCGTGCGAGTTAGTGGCAATTACACTGATCGGAAATTAGAGATTCGTATATGCGTGTTCGTAATGTCTGAATAAGAAACGTCCCGTTACCCAGCATGAAGCATGAAGGTGGGAATACGCATTTGCTGCACTAACATATGGATGAAAATATTTTCAGTATGAAATTAACACAATTCCAAGAAATCTACTATTCATAATATTCGTTGCAAAAGAAACAGATTCGTAAAATCTGGTTCCCGTTATTTAAAGAAAATTCAGAGTTCCTTTTGCTAAATACATTCAAGGATACAATTATTTTTTCATTAATTTTTCAAATATTTTTCTTTTATGCAGTTCTCGAAATTAATAGAGATTGTAAATTGCAAAACATTGAATGACATAATTAAGAAAATGAAAAATACATTTCGTCTCTCTCATCTCAATAATATAATTCGAAAAAGTTGAGTTTATCTAAACAAATAGATGTCCTGGTTTTTCCCTTTTTCAAATGACAAATCTTATCAAATTAGTTTTGTTTAACATCCTTTCCAATAAAAATATATTCCGTAAATATAACACTTTTAGGTTCTACTCAACACTACGTAAACTTAATATCTCAGTGTTCTGTATATCACATCTAATACTTCTGTGTATCACAAAGTAAGTAAATCGAAGGAGATTAGCCTTCTACAACAAAACAACAAACTTTGAACTTTCTTGCAAATAGTCTCAGTTCCACAGACGAATGACACGAACGAAAGGATACGTCGGCACGAACA